CCCCCCTCGTCTCTCTATGCCATTGGAGGTCTACTTCATCACCGGAGGAAAAACAATTTCATCCACTGGCTCCACCTCATTCTCCATTCGCATGTAGAGAGGCAACAAGCTTTATATTCCTTTCTGCAGGCTGCAAGTCAACAGTGTTAAAAAAAAAAAAAAAAGCATCTCTTCAATCTGTGGAAAAAGGGAGGAGTTGGGTTCCGGGCAGCTACTGCACAAAGAGAAAAACCACCGAAATCTGCAAGTATTGTCTGCCACTGGAGAGGGAGATGGAGGAGTGAAAGATCAGAGCAACAGGGGTAAGCCTCTCCGTATTTTCAGAGTGATTGCCTCTGGGAGTGAAGCCGTCGCTCACATCTGCAATTATCACGTCCATTTATCTATTGATGGAGGACTGGTGATGGTTACGCTTGATGGTTTTCGTTAATGGAGTGATTCAGCTGTTTCTCTCATGAAGGAATCAGTATGTAAATCAATTTTTACCTCCCCCAAGGAGCTCACGGCAAAGAATTTTCAAGCCTGAACAGTGGGACAGCTGCACATTGGGACTCCAGTCGCTGCTACCTGGAATCTGGGATACACAAACCTGGGCATGGTTGTGGAGAAAGCCACTGTGTGTAAATGTGGGATGTCTAAGGTGGGCTACTAAGAAACAGCATACGGTGAAGCGCTTGCCTTGACACAAGCAATTATGGTTAAAGCAGCCACGTCCGAAGCAGTCGCCCTGGGGCCACACAAAGGCAATGATGCCCAAGAGACCCGTCTCCGTAACACGGAGTCCAGCTCGCTCAAACCAACGTGGAAAGAGATCACGTTCAGTTTCATAATGAAGACCAAAATCCACGGTTTGAAGTTCGTCTTCTCTCCGGACAAGTCGATACCTCAGCGGGTCATCTGGATCATGGCCTTCTTCCTTTGCCTGAGTCTCCTGTGCACCTGGTCCTGGAATCGAATCCACTACCTGATGTCCTACCCGGCCATCACTAAGATCTACATGGTGTGGGCTCACAACATGTCCTTCCCAGCCGTTACCTTCTGCAACAAAAATGTGTTCCGCGTGTCCTCCCTGACCAAGGACGACCTGTATCACAGCGGCTACTGGATGGACCTCATGTACTCGAACCACACCGTGATGGAGAGGAGCCTGTCCATCCTCAAAGACAGCCACAAACAGGGTCTCCTGAGCCTGCTGGACTTCGACAACTACACCCCGCCCCCTGATTACAGCATCAACACCACCGAGATGATGGGACGCCTCGGCCACCATTTGGAGGACATGCTGCTGGAGTGCAGGTTCCGAGGTGAAACCTGCACCTACAAAAACTTCAGCACTGTATGTACAGAAAGAAAGAGGGTGTTTGTCAGGTGTGGATGTGAATGTTGTTTACAAGGTGTATTAATAATTCATGCGAGCGTTTGACGACGCAGCCTCGTTCTCTCAGGGTGTTTCAAGGTGTCGATGTGTCCTGTTTTTGCCTCTCAGACACAACAGTTTTTTTCGTCTTTAAGCGTCATGTTCTCAAAAAGTCACTCAAGGAAACAAGTACGACGTTACCTTCATGTTGTGGTGGAATCTCAATGTCACGTCATCATCAATGACTTCTGCGTCTGCGTTACAGTCTTTCGAGTTTGTCGCTGCAGAGTTCTCGAATTTCCTGTTGCTTGAACGCATCTTTTGCTTTATGTCCCGTGACAACAGTATTAAGGAAGAAAGATTAAAGCGTTAATAATTCAGACGTCGTAAATCAGTTCAAATTCAAATTGGAGCTTTCCTAATTAAACATCTGGAGGGCAGGTGGAATACACGGTCTTGTTTCAAAAAGGCGGCTGAGCTTCTTCTATTACACCCATTCATTTTTTGAGTGAGCACTGAATGCTGCATGGAGGGAGTGGGAGATGTTTGTGAACCATAATGTCACTATTCAGAGTGGTATTATTTTCTATCAAATGCCTTCAACGCATCCTTTAACCCCATCTGGAATGTATTTAAAAGGCTCACGGAGACTTCTGCAGTGAGAAGTATGCATGCAGAGGGACTCATTTATTTCCACTGCACTGAGAATAATTTATATCTGGGAACACAGTCGTAGATTTAACACACTAACCTGTCACTGGCATCACATTTCACCACTTGCCTCTGTAGGTCTGAATATCTACAGAGACCTAAGAATCAAACCTGTAACTGTGACGACTTCGACTGGTCTTGAGCCAGTTGAAATGCAAAGTCCTGCACTCTGCGATGTGTCAGATGTCCTTGGAGGCTTCTCTGTTTTGCACAAATCTGTGCAGATGTACAATCTTAGTTTTGGATTTAAACGGTGTTGTGTTGCTGAATGAAGCTCCCGTTTTTATTTATCTGAACTTAAATCTGAATCTTTAAAATCAGGTCCCTTGTCACTTTGCAGAGCTCATTAGGCAGCAGGGGGAAGGACCAAAGCGCTGTCTCCGTCTGTCTGAGCTGTATGTAAGTCCGTCTGTGTTTGGACACGGAACGCTGCCTCTGATCTCTTGAGATCGGCTTTGCAATGCTGGTTGAGTTTTTGCTCTGCGCTCGACCTCACCACCACACTGTGTAGTCAAAATTAACCATTAGGTGACATCCCTTTACTTTCCAGCCTTACATGCTTAAAAATGTGAAGTTTCATTGCACTTCCATTTTCTTTTTGAGGTCTAGAACGTTATTGAAAATCAAGTTATTAAAATGGCAATACTTGATATTACTGTAATTATTATTACAGAAAATTCCTATAAATACACAAATATATAAATATTTCAGTGGTTTTAATCTACAATGTTAAATATTCAAACGTGACTAAATTACACAATTAAGCATTTTTAAATTGCTTTTAAAATTCAAAGCTTCCTCAAGCCTTTCTATGCCTCCATAGTTTCATGATGATTGATGATGTAGTGGTGACTCATTTACAATCCCCCCCATTTATGTGTGTACTTGTGTTTGTTGGGATCAGAAACGAACAGATGTTGATGCAGATGTAACTGCGATGAAGTTGTATCTAAGGCTTTACAGTACTGTAGGAGTTGTCACAATGTAAAATGGTGTAGAACTAAAATGACAACTGTTTCTTCTGCAGGTTCTGATATTGTGTTGGAATGCAGGAGGAATATATATTCTAGTTCCTCGGAGTGTTGCATAACCAATCAATTCTACAGTCTGATAGTTTTGTCGCAAATTGATAAACTTATCTTGAGTTTACTCAACACCCTCGAGCCCTATTCAGAATTTTAAGCTTTCTTAGTCTTTATCCAAACTTTTAGAGTTCAGTTTAAAATGTCAACATTTCTAATCATCATACTGATTTGTTTTTACTTGTTTGGCAGAGGATGGAGAATTTTTTCAATCACAGAGAATATCCAATAACTTGGGGGGGGGGAAGTGTATCTGTCAACTGTAAGCACCGATGCAAAAGCTGAAATTAAATACCGTAACTTCAGCCAACTGGATTAATTAAACGGGAAAGATATTTGGTGTGAGCAAATGGAGATCGCACATCAGGCGTTAAGTACCGCTGAGCTTTACTGGCACAGGTTCGGCCTCTCAAGAAGTTTGTAACTCAAGAGACACACAAATATCTTTTACAAACCCAATTTAGAGTCGGTCTGTGTGTCCAGAGAGCCTCCACCTCAGATGTTTCTTATTAAATGACTGCAAAATAGTACATTTGCCCTAACTTACTCAGGGGAAATCTGTAGTGAAATTGGGTAAAGATTGATAGCTGCTGCTGTTGCTGCTGCTGCTGCTGAGGAAAGCACATTAATTCCTCAAATCAGAGCCAGGTGTCTGTTTAACGCCGGCACTGCTTTCTCAGATATTCACAAAGCCTCCGCAGTGATTAGCTGTCCTGCACAATTACAGGCTGACATGTAATACATCTCGTACAGGTGCACAATTTACCTGCGGAGGAAGGCTGTGACTTTTTCGCTAATGCCCCCCCCGTTTCTGCTGTGCTCTTTCTTCACAGATTTACACGCGCTACGGAAAATGCTACACATTCAACTCCGGATTGGACGGCAACCCTTTGTTGACCACGTTGAAAGGCGGCACGGGGAACGGCCTGGAGATCATGTTGGACATTCAGCAGGATGAATACTTGCCGGTTTGGGGAGAGACAGGTCAGTGCGGTAACATTTGAACCCTTTTGTGAAAAAAACCCTCAGTCTTGTTGGGTCACCCTGGAAATCCAAACTACTCTTCTAGTCCTTTGTCATTACTGTAACAAGAGGATGCATCACTTCATGTAGACAACAAACTTCCAAGATTTCCCCCGGTCTCCTCATACACTTTACTGCTAAATCTCTGCAGAATTTCCACTACACACAAGTGATTTGCTACTGTTTATTAACGTATTATCTTGATATGTTTCTCCAGGTCTACAACTGACGTCCGGTCTAATATATTGTATTCGTTGATAGCCACTGTATCGTACATTCATAAAGAATACAGCGTGTAATGAATCTTCGGTTGTAAATCTGTTTATTGCCGTTCCAACTTCCTAACGTTGGAGTCTGATATTAGCTTCCAGCATGGGCTTTATGAGCTCTTAAGGCACAGTATCGGTGGCAGAGCCAAACAGCGGCGGTTTCCACAGGCGACCGCACTTGTTGTTACATTTTCTGGCGTGCTGTATCCACAGATGAGACCTCCTACGAAGCAGGCATCAAGGTTCAGATCCACAGCCAGGACGAGCCGCCCTTCATTGACCAACTGGGATTTGGTGTGGCCCCTGGTTTTCAAACTTTTGTGTCATGTCAACAACAACAGGTTCCTAATGTTCGGCCTCCTCCCCTCCGACCTCGGCTTTTTTATTTATTTTTTTGCTCTGCTTTTTTCTGTGTTTGTCCCCGAAATCCTCGGCAGCCAATGCCCATCACCTCTGTGTCACAAGAGACGGGAGCAAAATCAGATCTTTGATTTACCCTTGTGCGGGAAATAAATGTGTGGTTAAGGTGTTATACAAACACCCGGCGTTTCTTGGTACATGAAACTGGGATTATAGCTGCCAAGGAATATTGACAGAGCAGGACCAAGTAATGATTGGATGCAAGCATACAAGCATACTGTGCTTATCTCAGCCAAAAGAACCTCAGACTTCACAAAAATATGTGGCAGCTCAGAGTGTTTGTTTTTCTTGTAATATTGACGCTTCACTACTTTTAGAATACAATTTATTTGCATGTTGTGAAAAATCCACTCTGCCATGGTCAGCAGGCTTCAAAACAATAACTCTGATTAATAAAACATAAACCCAATTTAAGGTGGTTTTCTTATAATAAACACCCTTTCAGGATATTTTCTCACTGGAATCATTGCAAGCCAAAATCCGACTGCTTGAAAGACTATAAATATCTGACCTCAGAAGACGCCCTCTCAAGATTAGCGGCATCTTGAGGGAAAGATATTAATATTATCATCATGTTTTTGATGTTATATTGAACCATTAAAAGAAGCCTGGTTCACCCGTCATCATATCAGCTTATTTTTTTTAATGCGCTGTTTGATGAGAAAGATGACCCCCAGCTATTTTGAAGACATATTTTAAGATGCACTATGATTTAGGGAAACGATAAAATGGGTGTTCAAGCACACAATATCAAGGGAGGCTAAAAAAAAAAGCCTCCGGCAGGTTCTGTGGAGATTTAGGTTCTGGCCCTCAACTATCCACTCAGTAAGGGACTGAAAGTAATAACTATAGTTAAGTCCGAATTGATCGGAAAGCCTGTGCTCAAGGTCTTAACACTGAGCTCACATGGACGTCCACTCCAAATGTAATGAAACTGTACAGCAGTCGTGTGATGTTGCCAAGACAACACATTCAAATTGGGCCTCTTTTGTCTACACTGGAATTGCAGACAAACCCAAAAATGAAAACAGTGACAGGAAAAGGGAAATATCCTCCGACAAACTGAAAAACCCTCCTTGTAAGTCACAAGAAAATGGCGCCTGTGCCACAAAGGATTTTTAGGATTTTGCAATGATTACCTTTGAGATCAAGAGCGTTTTTGTATTGAGCCGCAGGCTCATTAAATTCTCCCACCACATAATCAGTCCTTGTGAAGTCTTGAAGTAATGGATACTCCAGCAGTTCATCTAATTCATTACTTGAGAAATTAATCAAGCCTCATTTAAATGATTTTGCTCCTGAAGTTAATGGTCTTGGTCAGTTTCACGAGCATGAGATAAATGATGGAATAAAATCTTCCACCATTGTTTTAGCAGAATAACACGGGATGATGGAGGCAGAGTTTGGTCTCCTAAAACAGACACCACATCACAAAGATGACAAATTCTATTTTTGGGAAGCAGTTTTGAAACATGTTGTATATGATTTTTTCCATTCCTCCTTACAAGTGTTATAAAATGCTCCAAGTGTATCATCATTCAGGCATCTCCAAGAAGTGAATATGTAATTAATCACATATATTAATCACCATCACAAAGTTTCCTCCTGAAAGCAAAAGTGCATGGATTGCCATTTATAATCGTGACGTGTTTACGGCCTACAAGATGAGCTAAATTAATTAGACTGTCATTAAAGGCTGGCCAGCATTAATTTCAATCAGTCTCCAACGAGTACAGCGACACTGCTCTCAGTGGAATGATAGACAACTGGATGAAGCTATGATTTGTGAGATCAGAGAGACACGAAGATACCACCAGAAGTGTAACGGTCGAAACTAAACCCTGAGTGGATCAACGTATCCTCATACAATGCTTCGTACGATATCTCACAAAAAGTTACTGAATTTTCCATCCGTTTTTATTTGAACTCCCAGCAAGACTTGTCAATTTCCGCTCGTTACATGCATCCAGTCTTTTCAAAATAAACTTCCGTCTTCACAGGAGGTTTAGGCAACAAAAATACCTAGTTCAGTTTAGGAAAAGATTGTTGTTTGGTTTCAAATAATTACGCAAATGCCGTTACTGAAGTACACTAGTCACGTGACAAAAGACGAATCAACCTTAAGTTCTTCTTTCACATGGTGAACCAACAGCGATCTCCTGGGTGTTTGTTCGACCCAACCACCCCCCTGTGAGGGCTCTTGCAGTCTTTTTACTTGCTCGTTCATGATTACGTGGATATCTACGAATTACATTGAGTATTTTCTGTAGGTATAGCTATGAATGCTGGATGACAACAGCCTGACTGGATATAAAAAAAGATGGGAGTTGTAGCTGTTTTGTTGTTATACTGACAACGAGCTGTCTCTCTGTCCCTCACCTTGATGTTGCTCCTCCTTAATATTTTGATAATCATGTGGGCTGTGTTCCCTCACCCCTCACCCCTCGCCATAGATGAGACGTCCTATGAGGCCGGCATAAAGGTGCAGCTTCACACTCAGTCAGAGCCTCCTTTCCTCCACCAGCTGGGCTTCGGGGTCGCCCCCGGCTTCCAAACGTTCGTTTCCAGCCAAGAGCAGAGGGTAGCGTATGACTGTTTGGGCTTGCTGCATGCCACAGTTACTGTATCGTTAAATTGCAACACACCCATCAGTAAGATTCCACACTTTAATCTGCTGGTCTTCCCCCCCCCCCCCCTCTGAGGAATGGATCCATCTGTCCCCCAATGTGTGGCTGAAGTGACAACATCCAACAGCATCTGCTGTCCGTCCTTATCGCCATTGTCTTCTCTGTTTTTCTGTTTAAAAGATGTCGAGCATCTCCTGGGTTTCATTCCAGCTTTGCTCCATTCGTCCGAGTCTGTATCTTCAGCGAAGCAGTTGTTTGGCTTTACCCTCTCACCACCATCTACATATTTTTTGGTTTGTTTTGCCTTTGTGTTATCGGGGCGATCCACTGGAACGCTACTTAATGTCATCTGAAAGGGACCAGACAATGGGTTTTATCACCCATGAAGACTTCGGCATTGTTTTTTAAACTCCGGTTATGAGAGCTTGTGGGCTAGAAATGGAGTCCAAGAAGGGCTAAATAATGTTTGCCAGTTCCTTTCCACTCCGTCAGTGAACTGGTCTGTTACTTTCAATCGAGTAACTGACCATTAGATTGTCAGAGTTAAGCCTTGTTAGAACTGCTGGAGATGATGAAGAATTACAGTGAACCTTAATGTGACAATATCAGCATCAATCAATGCCAAAAGAAGCCTTTGGCATTGATTGTTGGCCAGTTCCCACTGCAATTAGCAGCTATATGCTCCAATGCCCAAGCAAGCATCGCTAGCCTTCATAAATAATTGGTTTGTTTTTGTCATGAAAATGAGTGGTAGACAGGCATTACCATAAACTGCTGGAAACAAGACTTTAAAAACGGACTGCAAGTCTTGTTGCTGGTGAAATGTCGGTACACCAAAAAAAGGAGTTCCTTTAAAGTGTTAGAGAGACATCGCACACGGGGCACATATAGTTACAAGACGAGCACCGTGGGTCAAATGTTTACTGTGAACCAAAACCTTAAAAAAAATGGCATTAAAAAGGCATTAAACATTCCTGATTAGTGGATTCATTTAGGATTCCCTGAGTTCCTCTTATATGAACAGTAATGACCTCCTCTTCAACCTTTTAATGAGAGTTTTACCTCTAATGAGACTGCAGGCTGACTTCACTTCTTTCTTTAATTCACAGAGCTTCGCAGGCCAGAGTAGTTTTATAATAAACTCCCATGGGCTTCGATAAGAATATATGTATAGTTAGTCAACAATAAAACCACCATTATGAGCTTCTGGAGAATAGTTTATTCATCAAATATTTACTATAAAATAGGATGGAATAGAGTATAAGGTCTGTTAAATTCAGTTCATGTATTTGTTCATTCAAAAACTGTTTATTTCTCTGAATTCTGTTCCCAGGGTTGTAAAGTTTGTCCATTAATTGTGGTGTCCTGTCTGAATCTACATATTTTACAGATTTCTATAAAGCCTGTCTCTATTCCCGTGGTATTCTGCTTCCTACCGGGGACTAGACCTGCATCAGTAATGTTCTGCATGACGTCTGCTTGCTGCCGTACATGAGCGATTATGTCATGTCTGACTGGACATTTTGTGCCAATATTGTCTGAGTGCACATTTTCATTGAAATGCTTCTTTCTTTCTTTTTTGTTCTTTAATGTTTGAAAGATTTGTGTTGGGTTTTGTCAGCTTGTTGTCCTCCAGGTGTACTGGGCATTGCATTATGTTATTCGCTGTAATCCTGTGTGCTGACATACTGACGGGAAAACATGTGCTGTTTGCTCTTTCAGCTTCAGTACCTCCCGCCGCCTTGGGGAGATTGCAAGTCTACTCCGATAGACTCTGAATTCTTCTCCACGTACAGCATCACCGCCTGCCGCATCGACTGTGAAACACGGTACCTGCTGGAGAACTGCAACTGCAGAATGGTTCACATGCCTGGTATGATTTCAGAGAGACTGAAATGTTGCCAATGCTTTTTTTTTTTTTTTTACATGATCTGTGTGATTTATTTTCCCCTTTATGTTATTTCAAACAGGGACCTCAACAGTTTGCACACCTGAGCAGTACAAAGACTGTGCTGACCCGGCTTTAGGTGAGCCCACACGCTTTAGTGCAGAAGTATAAAATACGAGTGCATTAACTCAACCAGGTGTTCGGCAGCAGTACTTTTACATAACACCGCTGTAGTTTTAACTTGAAATTACTTTCATCTCAGACAGTGCCGAAGCAAAAAGAATAAAGTAAAATGATTGTTTAAAAATTCCATTAGAAAGATTTGTGATGCTTCGTCTGATGTCACATAAATCTCATAGAGCCCCCCTCCTCTGTTTCATAACTTCAGTCATTATTTGCTTTCATGGAAAGTGAACGATGGCAGCGAGTGTAGTTTTTCAGTTGTGTGCGGAGATATTTTTAGAGAGATCCTCTGTTTGCAGGTTTGTTTGATTCTTGGCAGCGGTCACAATATTTTGAAATAACTTTGATCATCCACAGGCTTTTTGGTAGAGAAAGACAACGATTACTGTGTCTGTCAGACCCCCTGCAACATGACTCGCTATGGCAAGGAGCTGTCCATGGTTAAGATCCCCAGTAAGGCATCTGCTAAATATCTGGCTAAGAAATTCAACAAAACTGAGCAATATATTGGGTAAGTATTGTCTGGTAGCGGTCCGTTATTCAGATCTCGGCCTGTTTTCTTTCCTCTGTTGATGGCTGGATGGATGTGTTGCGGCATAGCATGACCCGGGTCTCCATCGTTCACCTTCAATGTAACAATAATGAAAGATAGTTACACAGGAATTGTCATTTTGGAGTTATTGTAATATCAACAGAAATTAACTCTTTTGAGTGTGCTCTTGTCTGTCCTCTCTCTCTCCAGAGAAAATATATTGGTCATGGACATCTTCTTTGAAGCTCTGAATTATGAGAAGATTGAGCAGAAGAAGGCCTATGAAATTGCAGGGCTTCTCGGTAAGAACCTCTCGCATTTTCAGGTTCATTTTTGTGGAAAGATTTGGTTGACCTCGGTATCAGCCCCGTCGCACATTTCACATTGTGTGTTCACGCCGGGCGCTTTGAGGTTTCCTCTTTGAACTTGTGAAACAGGCTGAGCACATTTTCATAATCTGATGCTCTTGCGAGGTCAGCCGGGTTTGGGTCTGATGAGAAGTTGGGGCTGGATGGACACTTCTGACATCTCCGCTCAGATTACCCAGAGAGATGCTGAATCAGAAGTGACAGCGCCGGGAATGCTTTCACGCACCATTGTTCAATGGCCGTACCCGCCCATATCTGTTAATCTCTCTTCCTCTAGGTGACATCGGAGGGCAGATGGGGCTGTTTATCGGAGCCAGTGTCTTAACAATACTGGAAATATTTGACTACCTATACGAGGTAAAGTGATAGTTTTTACTGTTAGAACATAAACCTGTAAACATTGTCATGCCATTTTAATTATTACTTCTTCTTCTGTCTACAAAGACAAATAGTTAAGTGTAGCACTGTTTGTTTTTACACCATGTAAAATAAGTCAAAGATAACATTTGAATATATTTATACAGTTTGTGTTTAATTTTAAAGGAATAGTTTGACATTTTGGGAAATGTTTATTCAGAGGAGAAGTTTGCCTTCAGGGCTTTTTTGCCAGAAAGTGTTTTTAACACAAAACTACAATCTTTAACTAAACCTAAAGTAGGTTTGTTGCCTAAACCTAAGGTGATTTCTGACATTAAAGAAGACAAACTTCTCCCATGTGCTTATGTCTGTACGATTAATATGAATCTGCAGCCAGCAAACAGTTAGCTTTGCTTCTCATAAGGACTGAAACAGGGAAACAGCTAGCCTTGCTCTGTCTGAAGGTAACAAAATCTGCCTACCAGCACCTGTGCAGCTCACTAATTAACATGCCATATGTTGTTTATTCAATGTGTACAAAGAAAGAGGTGTAAACGGGCCGTGTTGTGAGTGACAATATCATCTGATCTGACTCTCTGCACAATAGCGAATAAGCATATTTCCCAAAATGTAAATGTAACATATTTTTACTGCTAATGTCTGGTCTTATTGTCACTAAACAGGATGTTTTCCATCTTCAAATAATGTGCATCTGATATTTTCACATTTAGGTGTTTAAGGATAAGGTATTGGGCTACTTCATACGGAAGAAAAGACCACAGCGTTGTCAGAGCGACAATCTGGTAATTTCAGTCTCTCGGGATGCATCTGATTTGAATGGAATGAATGTGAAGTATTAAATGAGCCTCGGGAACAACAATAACAACACAAAGGAAATGCTTTTAATGAACAGCACCAGAGAGAGCACAAAACCACACCACAGTCATTAGTTTCAATTTCCCATACAGCTAGCTGTATTGTGCTAGAAAACATAATCATTAATAATATATTTTGTTTTTATTGCAGTGTGAATGCATAATCAGTGTATCTAATATTATGTGCATATGGTACTTTAGTTACATGGTGAATATTATAGAGAAGCAGCGCAAATTATGCCCGATGATGACAAAAACCTTCAATAGTTTAACAGATGGAATACAGATGAGTATTTACATGGAGCAAAGCCTCCTATTACAAGGGTTTTTTTATGCCGGCAATAACCGGGGCGGAAAGCATTATGTTTTCAAGTTTTCCGTCCGTCCGTCCGTCCCATTCTTCCATTCTCTAGATATCTTGGGAACCCCTTGAGCGTATTTATCCAAATTTGGCACAAGTGTCCACTTGCACTCAATGATGAACTGACAAGAGTCTAGTGGTCAGAGGTCACTGTGACTTCACAACACATTTTTGGCAATAACACAATGATAAAAGTGAGGACATTTTGGACAGGCATGGATGTAAAGTCCATCATGACTGGCTGGTGGAGGCATTAATCCGTGAGGTGTTCTAGTTTGTGGTTTGTCAAATGTTTTGCTACTTGAGTTCCCTTAAACTACAGTGCATGGAAAGTAGAAGGGAATTGTCTGACCCAAATTTAAAGTTTATAGCCCTTACCGTAGTTTATTGTACACATCAACACACTTTTCAGTATTTGCACAATATACAGTAGAACTTGATCATGTAATTACAGTCACTTAGAGCGGGAAAATCTGTTATTGTCCTCTGGTTCTGCTGCTTTATGTCTGGCAGGATGATGAGATTAATGTAGAAGACTAGAAAAATGAGCAGAAAATAGAGCAAGGTTGAGAGATCTGGAGATTTTATTAACTTTTCATGATCAACTCATTTTCAAAGCCTTCAAAGCAATGAAACTAGAAGCTAGAATAATGTGGGGCAATTCTGTCCTGCCCTAAATCACATCATTTTGTCAAGCCCGGTGGTTTAACACCGTGGCGTCCAGAGGCACCTCCACGTCCCCTGCAGACTGTTATGTAAGTTCTACACACAACAGGAATTATTCATAAGTGAAAGGCACCTTCTTAATATCAGCAAATGTTCAGCACACTGCTGACTCAAACCTTTACTGGCTTAACTCGTAGAATTGTTTGTAGTATTGTATGCTCGCTGTGCTGAGAAAGATATGTGAAATAGCTATTTTCAGTCAAATTCTAAATGGATGTTATTCATCATATTCTTCAAAAAGCCGAGCTCAGAACAAAGCGAGTATCTTCTCTGATAGCTAGGAAATAAATAACTTTTAAGGAGTCTCATAAGTAAGTTACTAGGGTCCACTTCAATTAGTTTTTTAAATCATTGGAGCCTATGTTGTTAAAAATGCTTATTTAGCTACATATGTGGACAACATAAATCTTTTCTATGCCAGCATTAAATGAGCTCCATACTATGCTTCATACTATGTTTTAATGAGTTGTCTAACTGCTAACCATCAGATTTCTCAAACAATAACTAAACTTTCCTTTCGATGCAAAAAGAACATAATTTGAAAAATCCAAACAACCACTTAATCCACTTCTTTTCAACACATAGGGACCATTGGTGGTGTCTCAAGTCCAAATAACATCTAAAAGCCACTAATCCCTCTCAACATTTCCTTTCTTTCTGGTGCTGTTTTAATCAAAAGCATTTCAGCAGATTTTTTTGTGCTGTGCAGACGGTTCCTCTAAATCTTTGTTGTGTGCCACACAAGCCCAAGACTTTTTCACTACCAGCAATTCAACCACATGCCCCTCATGTCTCTTCAAACTGGTGAAAGAGCCGTGGGTTTGTCTCTGCATGTGGTTTGTTTGTCTGCATGCTCAGTTGCCTCGCGGTTCAGGATTTGGTTCGATAGCTGAAGTGGAAGAACAGATTGAAAGACTTTGTTTATTCTCTACTGTAGAAGTGGAGATATTTTAATTTACCATATTGATGAAGGACATTTTTATTTTTTGAGTGGCAGACGAAGAAGCATTTATTTAGCGGGCTGATATTTATAATATTTCATGCTTCGACTGGAGACAAACATAGTGTGATATTTACTGTAGTCTGCCCCACTCATGTCATATGTTCACCTGCTTACAAGAAACCATCCTTTTTTTACTTCCTTTCTCTCACATTCAATAACCGTTTTCTCAACTAGTCCATTGTCACTTCTCCTCTCAAACACCCCGACAGTAGAGTAATGCATCCAGTTTATTAGAATCAATTCCGAGTTTGACTTTCATTCTCCTTCGTGATCGTCAACACTTCTGGATGACAGTAATCATCTGTTGTTTTCCCTATTTATGAAAAAAAAGAACAGAACAGAACAGCCATCTTCCTTCGGTACTTCAACTGACAGGGAAAACAGTCTCTTGCCGTATTCCCTGGCACGTTTACCAATTAGCATTTGCATTGTGTTTTATTTTCATTTCAGTCACCCTCACCCATCTTTCTTTTCATCATGTCTATTCCAGGAGTTTCCAGAGAACCCAACCAGCCCTGGTGTCACGCCTAATCATGCCCCCAGGTAGCACACCCCATCGATAATAGATGCTCCCTCCCATGCTGTCCCTCTCTTTCATACATACTTGAGACCATTTCATACATAATTTCCTCAGTGGCTACAGAATGATTTGGTAGAAAATTATCCAACTGCAGAGAGCGTTTTTAATATCTACCGTGGTGTCAGGGCAGGTTAGTGTCGTGTGTTTCTGTATCTATCGGCTCAACAGAAGTTGGTTGGATTCTCTAAGTGCATAGTAATTTTGACTCTGCACTATACAGTACTTGCTCCTTCCACTGAATAATGATGCTTTCTTTCCCAATAGGATAAAGCGCAGTGCTCCTGAGAAAACAGATTACACATTTATTGAATTGTTGCACAAAAAGCTGATCCACACGAGATCTATTTGTTTCCCCGCAGCACAGAGGTCCGTTTAGAGGCAATGCGTTTGAGGCTCCTGCCAGATAACATCACTAGATGCATTACTTTGTGATGTTATCGCAGGTCTGCATGCAGTGAGTTTGCACAAAATATAAATGGTTCTTTTGTCTGCTGGAATAGCCAGTTATGCCGTCGGGACGACCAATGGTTGTCGTCCACGTACAGTATCAGGAGTTATCTACTCAGCGAGCACTTTTGCACATGCAGGGAGACGCAGACATATGTGGATGTTTCAACTTCCGTAACTATAACAATTTGACATGCTAGTGTTAAAGCAGCACTAAAAATATGCTGTTTTCTTTCTCTTCTCCCTCCTTTCATTCATCTTTCTCCATCGTGCCGTGATTTTTCTTTCTCTTTTCACGACCTGTGAAACATGTGCGATGTGGCTGATCTTGGAACTTCCAAATCTGTTGTATTCATTACCTCCATCATTTGTCAACACATATGTTTCTGTCATTTATGGCCCTCCATTATATATCCTATCCTTCTTTATGATGCGTTAATATTTCTGTTTTTGCACAATTTCTCCTCGCCACATACGTTATTTATTATTGTCATTATTTTTATTTCCTCCACGCCCCTCCATCGTCCCGGTCGCTCTCATTTTACCTGTGGCTCATTTATGTCCTTCATCATCATCCTCATCCTTATGACTCCATTCACTGCCCCTCCCTTAACCCGGTTCAACTCGTGTTCCCTCCTTCCCTTCCCTCTGTCTTACAGAGCACCTGTGACACCCTCCGGAGTCACTCGGACAGTCTCGGATTCACGCCGAACATGTTACCTCGTCACCCGACTCTAGGCAACTTTGAGGAGTTTGCTTGTTGACAACATAAAGTAGGGGTGGTGGGGGGGGGGCGGCACATCCGGGGACTTGACAGCAAACTGTGAAATAATTTAATGTATTCAAACAGAAAACGGTTGGGTGTATGACTCGAAAACGTATAGTAGAGTTTATCAATGCCTGAATAGAAATAGAGTACTATCATCAGAAAAAAAAGAGACCACTTCCAAAACAGAACTCAGGTTTAACTGCCATGTCAAGGTTTCAGTGTTAATTTATTCATGTTTCATTTTGTGGATTTGTTTTTCTTATGCAGACACTTTAGAGTTATACAATCAGTGAAGAGAAATGTGTCCAGTTAAAAGGCTTGCTGCCCTGTGATGAGATGTAGCACTGTTGTGCTCGTCCTGCTGTACATCAATCCCCAAACACAAGCAAACAGAATACACGTGGATTGGTATGTGTAGCATTGCAGTTTCTGAACAGTGTTACGTCTCCAGCATCTAACCGACGCTGTGTGCAGTGACCTTATACTGTCACCAGTTTAGACAGGCCTTCAATGAGCTGATTGTTGGATAAGAGAGCTGCTCATTAGTGAATCAAAACACCAGACTGGTGTGTTGCCTTTTGCTCTCGTGAGGCTTTGGATTGTCTCATGAGTTAGAAACTGTGCTCAATGGATTTAAAAACAGAAAAGGAACTTGATTATATGCAAGTATCTCGTTTTGTTCCATGCTGCAGGCTGAAACGAATGTGTTTGTGAACTTAAGTCACTTTTTACGTACAGTAAGGTTTAACAAAGAGTCAGGAGCCCAGAAAAAGGCTGTTGATTGTATCTTTATATAGCTGACAATTCAATTTGTATTATTTTCCCATTTTTGGGGATAGTGTTGCTCTGCTGACTGTCACAAAAGAAAAATGCTAACATGCAGTTTGCTGCAGGAATTGGCCCTTATTTACATTAAATTCATTAGAAGAGAAACACAATCAGGTTTTCCTTTTTGTCTTTTTCATAATTCTCAGCTATGTATTTTTCATGACTGCGTCTTAAAGTGTTCATCAGCACAATCCCCTGTGATAGTAATCTATTCTCTATTGTCCATAAGGAGACTTAAAGGCTTGTTGGTGACATTCCGAAACTTGACAGAAATTTGTAAATACCCGCAATCAAATGCCATGAAGAAATTCTATACTGCTCATTTGAGACCTTTGTCAAATATATATATCAATATATCTATATATATATATATATATATATAGAGATATATATATATCTATATATATATAGTGAGAGATACAAGTTTTGTTTCATCTGTTCTTACACCAGAAGGAATTTGGACTTTCTATCTGGGTGGACCGTAAGTGTCTTTGAGTTTCTGGTGAATATAACGTGACAACTAAATAGACTTTATTAGATACAAGAGAATTGCCTCAAAACATGAAGACCACCACGCACCTCAGCCCCATTCAGTTCAATTGGTTTATAACACAAATGCATTGTACAATTTTACCATTATATCCCTTTATTATTATTATTATTATTATTATTATTATTATTATTATTATCTCAGAACATGTAATAAGTCACAAATAACAGTTTGTGATGTATAAATGATCAAGTATAATAAACTCTATATTTACCCATCTTACTCACGTACACAGCTTTTCTTATCTTCGTGTGAGTCTCACTTCCTCTTTTTTTAAATGTTCACTCTGTTATTTAAATCCTTGACACTACAGATATGGACTTGTAGGTACACTTACATATCCTCACTATAAATACTTTACTGGACATTCAGAGTAAGTTGTTTTTTTGTTGTTTTTTAAATGTGAAACTTTCAAGTATAATGCCAATCTAGTTAAAGTGGTGTACATGACACTGTAGCTTTATTACTCTGTTGTCTGTGTATTAGATGACTGTTGATGTGAAGCACAAACCCTTGGAGATCAGCCATCACTTGAAAGCCAATGACTGGACGTCTATGGTTGTGACTACCTTTTATGGCTCTAGTTTGAACTGCACAGGCTGTTACACGTGGTGTGTTCACTGCTCCAGCATTCATAGGAATAAGAGAGCACTCCAAGAGGAGACAGAGACTTTATCCAAATGGAAATTTTACTTTTCAGGAAACAAAAGAAAAAAAAAGGTTTATCAGTGTGGTTGTGTCATGAGCAATAAATGCACTAAATCGGATACAATTGTTATCAAATTTACATAAAGAAAAATATATTTGGGATTCCCATTTTTCAATTCATGATGTATTCAACAGCTGGAATGGATGTAGACGGAACAGCTGCCAACTGCAACACAGATGTGTGATACAGCGATTGTATATTAACCATCATTAGCCAAATATAGAGACACAAAATGCCAATTCATGTTACACAATGATGCTATTCTGATGATGCTGCATTGCCATGACATTGTGTGTGAGTGTGTGTGTGTGTGTGTGTGTGTGTGTGTGCGTGCGTCATGTTATCCGGTTTCAAAAGCATAAAAATGACCCACCATTTACCGCAAACTGTGGATGTAGGATTTGTGGGTCTTTACCACCCCCCTCACACACCCCCTGCCTTACTACCAGTCACAGAACAGCAGAGTGTATCTGAACTGGCAGAAACTATTCCTGAATTGTTTGTGCTCATTAAGTAGTTCTGATATTTAGCGCATAGTTATGGCCTAGTAGAAAACCGTACTCTATATATTTCTGTCACCCGACGCCTACATTTGAACTATTTTGACTATCACCCATTTTCTTCCTTGCATGACCATTATGTATTCCTATTATCTCTGGTCTCTTAATGTAATCTTAGCCATGCTATTCACTTTGTATGGTCCAAAAATGTATTTCTGGAGCCAGATGAATCAAAAGGACGTTCTCCACATCCTCCTCAAACCGGGCTTGGGATCGTGCAATATACTCAAAAAGAAAGATGTTCTGCAGATGTGGAAAAACGTCTTTATCTTTCCATCAGTATCTACGGATTATATGAACACAATATGGCTTGAAGTAAAAACTAAACTGTGCCTTCAAGACTGGTTCTCACAGGTAACATCAAGACTTTCATGCGCACCAACATCTGGGGAACTGAACTTGCTTCATCTGGCTCTACGTGCTTTATGTGCATTTTACTGTAGATATGTGATTTTAACTCTGAACTGTACATTAAATAGTTAATACACACTTAACTATGCGTAACGTAGTCAGTCTCAAGTCAAACTGTCACTTTACTCACAAAACGTCGTTTTGTAGTCTCATTTATCCGCTTCTCAGCAACCACCTTCTTTAAAGACACTTAAATGTATCAACATTCACAATAAGGGTATCTACTGATGTATTAATGTTTTATAACACATTAAAATGTATTAAACCAGACCTTATTTGAGGAAATGCTGACTCATGTTCAGTTTTTAGTAGTCATTCCTTCAGCACTCTATAATCCTGATGAAGCAGCACAAACCTTAACTTTTATTGTTTAGACACATTTTTTTAAGTTATTGCAAAAAAAAATTGTATTTGAAAGCAACTTTTTAAGGGCTTTAAAGAAAGCCTGGTGTTCAGTAAAGCTCACAAAATTACACCAAGAAGCATTTGAGATCCAGTCTATTGGATTCTTGTTTTTCTTTTACTATTTACAACAAAATTATTCCCAAAAAGCAAACGCGTGTTTATGTCCACTCTACTTAATACTGAATCTTATTGGCTGAAATATACACAAAAAGACCGACCAACCAAAAGATACTTGCGGAGTGCAGAATCCATTCTTCATTCAAAATAAAGCAGTGTGTCTGAAATGTCCTGTCATCAGGAGATAAGGAAGTACTGAGAGCAAATGCCTTGTTTTTATCATCATAACTTAATCCACACACACACACAAAACATTTGAAATCCTGAGCCGACTAAATGCTTTGAGTCACATGAAATCATTCACGAGGAGAGTTTCTGTACCAAATGAAGCGGTGCTACCTTTAAACAAATGCAAAAACAAATGGGCAGACATTCCATCATTAATAAATACATGCATCCATTATCTCGGTTACATCATCAGCAAAATGAAAATAAATCCTTTCCCTATTAAACACAACTCCATTATGTAATGTGTAGCGCTCGTAACAATCTGGAGTAAAATAACACTGCAAGCTCTTAATGTTAATATCATAAGTAACCAGGATGGAAACAGCTAATGGTGCAAAAACAATCATAAGAAAACACAGATTATCAATGGATTACCGGGATTCTTTCGTCTCTAATTTAACAATTACAAAAGCATTTCAATAAAGCTAAAAGACTGTAATTATGATACAAATGATGTTAAAAAAACAGAGTAACGTGTCACTAATGGCCCACTAGTCATTAACATATATATATGAATGTATATTGATAACCGGCTATAATCCAGCTGTCAGTGTTCACCACATTTAATATTCGCATACTAAACATATTCAAATAAAAGTTACAAAGTGCACAAAAGACAAATACAAAAGGGAAAATGAAAAAGCCTGAGAAAAAAGGAAATCATAACTTAGCTTCTCGTGCCATTATACAATCTTGTAAAAGGAAGCGGGACAAAGAGTTGTATTGTTGGCGAGTGAAACATCAGAACTGAAGTGAAATGACAACAGTGTAATTTACAGGTCTGTAATTAGCTAATAATCTCCTGGAAATAAGTATGTAATTTGGTACTAATAACTGGGAAAACATTATTCACTTCCAATTACTAATCTTAATGTTTTTTAGTCAAAGCAGACTAACTGAACATGCTAAATGTTTAGTTTCTGTACAGAAACATAGTTTCCAATAGTAGGTGAATCATTTATCAATATGTACTTAAGCTTAAATGGAGTAAGTCTGTCAAAGAAAGACATTTGTACAGTGCTAGTTTTATCCAGAAAGTCATTTTGAAATCACAGACTTGTATTATAAAGTGATACAAAAAATCATATAATCCTAAAAATGTAATTGATTTAAGCCTTTAAAATGTTCAAATTAATTGAATTTAGCTTTGAAATAGCGACATTAGCTGCCCCAGGAATCTGTGGTCTCTAGCTAACTTATTACACGACAGATGCACCAGCACCAGTATCAGCACCAGTACCAGCACTAGTACCAGCACCAGCACCAGCACCAGCGTATATTGTGGCTAATAAAGAACAAACTGTGGTACATTAATGCCGAAGATATGTTTTAGATCAGTGAGAAACAGTGTAACCATTATACAGTCTGCCCACACATATCTCTATTTAATAACTATATTTAAATGATCCTCATCAAAAAAAAGTTTTTATAATTTGTGTTTATGTTAACGGGAGCAATTAATGGGGCGTCTTGTTGACAACTGTTTCCACAGGTATGAGATGTATTTAATGCAACACATAGTGCTAATTACCTGGGAGATGTATTAAGAACCAAATCAAACAGGCTCGCAGCTTAAAAACAAACTAAGACGTTGCAGAGGCAACAGGACTTTGTTCCACATGGAGGCACAACAGAATGAGATGCAGGGGAGTGTTTGAAAAAACAACACTGAGGGATTTGCCTTGTTGAGACCGGTCCTAATGACCCAACCGAGAGGAGGAGGAGGAAGATTGATTCTGGCAGCTGAGGTTCAGCGAGGGGCCGTTTAGCATTTAGGGTGGGCAGAAGTCAGCAAAGTACGGGTGCTGCAAGGCCTCTTCTGCAGAGATCCTCTGGACAGGATTACACTTTAACAGGTTCTGGGTGAGATCAAAGGAAAACATTTCAATAAGTGAACCGCAACATCAAGTGTCTTGCAAGAAAATGTGTATTTCACCAAAAAACTGGGTAGTAACTTTAAGGTACTTAATTATATGCCCAAAAGAAATGTTTTATCAACCACAGATGTAAGAAATGGTTTTGATATTTGAATAAAAGTAGACGAGTTGAACGTGCAAGTACCTGGAGTAGATCCCGTCCTGTGCTACTTAGTTTGGGAACCACATTCACCAGCGAGGTGGTGGCGGGATACATGGGATATGGCTGCAGGGAGAAAGAGAAGCAGCACATGATAGCTCAGTAACACTTGGAGTACACTCACTAAATGAACTGTGGGAATAATTTACCTTGTAATCGGGGAGTTTCGTCATTGACTGCCACTGTTCCTCGGTTGGTGTACCCAACAATGTACCGAGTGGTTAAAGAAAAACCTTTTTTCCGGACCCGTTTAGACTTACTGTTTGTCAATGATTCATCAGAGTCGATCAATCGTTGTGCCTGAACACAGCCTCTGTGGTGTCAGACTGACACAAGGTGTGGAGATGTTCAGGGAAAAAAAGGATATCTGAAGATTCGTTTCAACTGGTCGTCCACGTCGTTCCCGGGGAATAAAGGCCTTCCAGCGTTAGCCAGCTCTGAATGGGACATGGAATCACGATTATCACTTCATAAATGGTTTGGTTTAGTCATAAAAACAACTTACAGATAACTCACTTTTAATTTATACAGTTGAAACATGAAAGGATAAAAAAAAACTACAAATTTAAATCATTTCCATAGTGGGTCCTGGCCTGCCCAATTATACATTTAAATATATATATATATATGCACGGTTTAACCACAGTGCCCTATACCTAAATTGATCATTTATGATTATATTATTAGTATTAACAGTATGCTCCTCACTATAGCTAACAGAACAAAGTTAGGGAGACAAGAATAGAGTAACGTACATCCTCATTAATGTCGACGACTACAAACAAACCTGCAAATATGCATCCAGCAGACCACATATCAATAGAGGTAGAGTAAAGCTTAGCACCAAATAGCACATCAGGAGGCCGGTACCACAAAGTCACCACCTACGTCCAATCACAGAGCGGAGTGGAAGAATTAGACCAGAATCACACCAATTATCACAGCCCAACCAGACGGAAACGTTCAGTGTAATGACCGTTCGTTCTCTGGGTGGTATTTTGTACCCAACACTGATTCCACAAAGAGATAGATTTGGCCGCACTGTGCCTAAAACTAAATGGTGTGCTTGTTTCAGCGATCTGGTTTCCATTACCCCATCGAGACAACTTTAACAAACTGCTGCTTTGTCAGGTGTCGAGTGTTTTAGAGACATTTTCCCAAGTTAATACGAAAATGTGTTTGGTGAAGTGCACCGACGGAGTAAAAATGACAGAGAAGTTTTATTTCCCAGAGAGAGACTGTGTGGGCTGACTGAGGTACCTGCGTTTCAGCTTGAAAAGTTTAAAAGTTCAATTCAGTACCGACGCCATCGATGCAACCATCTGCTACAGAACCACTACGAACTTTCTATGAGTCATTTTTACCGGGAAAAATAAAGAGTAATGTAAACAGAGACGTGCACTCAGCTGCTGAGTCATTTAAAAAACGTCACATATTGAGTCACCAGCATTTGCGGTGGTGATTTTTAAACTAAGAAAAACTGATTTTCCATTCATCTAGGAGAATACTTTATGGAGTAGAACTTCAAAGTAATTATAGGGAACTGTGCATATTTCCTTTAGATAAAACTGCATAAAGAGACTTGCTGCTGTACTGAATAATACCTCTGCTCCTGCTTCACTTGCCAGAGGAAGAGACTTTAGAAAAATGAAGAACACAGATGAACTCTACTCAGAACTATTTGACTTGGCGGGCAAATATAATGCCAATATATTAAACAAAACACCGTCATCTTAAGAACTTCAGTCCCTGTATTGAATTCACGCTGCATGTGCTGCATTAAGTATATCCATGTAGTGAGAGACAGCTGTAGGATTCATTTATTTCTTCTTGCTGAACCAGAGCTCAGAGTCTGAGAAATGAAAAGACCTTTTAAAATGTCCTTACTTCAAATTCTCAATGCTTGAAACTGGGCTCCCCTCTAGCTTTTCTGTTTATTACATTTTCAGATCAGTAGTAGTCACCCTGGGTCAAGGGCCCCCTCATGGGACCGGCGCGCTGGGCCCTTAGGTCAGCCAACCAAATCCACTCAGCCTACGTGAGGCTCGCCTGTCATTTCTCTGATAGCATCAGCAACAGCACAAAATAAAAATAAAACACACACACCACTTAAACCACATGCTGCAGTGTGTTTGACTCTCTCCCATCACTAATTAGTGGCTTAACTTCAGCACCTCGGTGGCTGTCGGCATTTTAACAGAACGTTGTAGAAAACGCCACATCTCTGCTCTTGTTGCTGCAGTTTGCTAGTTAGATGTTCCAAATGTTGATGTTACTTTTTACAGTGGAATACATGTGAGGTCATGTTTTCCAGCGTTAAGACAAAGCCTGAAAGCTCTTGATTTATTGATGAGATATTGAGATATTGGAAACTAACTCTTTAGTGTTTCACTTTACTGTAGCATCTATATTTTAAGAAGTGAGAGATCAACCTTTTTTTGTTTTTAGTCCTATAATCAAATCATTTTGGATTGGCACTCAAAATGCATCTGCATCTACACATTTCTAGTTAGTATGTTGAACAACTCTCTTATTGGAAAAACAGGAATTAGGATTATATTTATAGGGAGACGCAATTAAATACTCTACATGCGTGTGGTTTTGTAGAATAAAATAAAGATAATTTTTAACGTTTGCTGCACAGACATGACACAACTTCTTTGAAAGCCAAGTTTAAAGCGCAACAATCTCTACATATACTTATCACCCAATTTAAAATCCCTCAATGACGGGCATCATGTTCAGAAATCAGTCTCTGGCTTGGTTTCTCTTTAGATATTGAATATTCCCCAAAAAAATCAATGCAATTTCCCGCAGGTTTCACATTTTAAGATGGAAGAAGTCAGTTATTGGGGTCTGCTGTGTTAATGAAGTACAACCTACCTCTGCTGAGTAACACCTCACAGGAATGCCAAAGGCGCGAGCCAACCCAAAGTCAGCCAGCTTCAACTCCCCATTCTATATAGAGACACAAAAATTATCACATATTCACATATGATATGAACACAGACTGATGAACTACAGCGCATCTGATTTGGCTTTATATTTAACACAAACACTCACTCTGTTGATGAGCAGATTCTGCGGCTTCAGATCTCTATGAAGAACGTTTCGACTGTGACAGAAAGCGAGGCCTTTCAACAGCTGGTACATGAACGACTGCATCAGAGAGAGAGAAAAGAAAAAAAACAATCTTTAAGCAGTTAATTCCACCTTTCACAAGATGCTAGTGACATACCGATGACAATCAGAGGGCCAAAGACGATGCTATCTACAAACCAAGCTGTATGCATTTAAGCAGGCACATGCTGGCCTTGGTTAAACTCTCTCCGTGGACTATCTATCGCTCACCTTCACAGTTTCAGGATCTAGATCCCCATTGCAGCTGTCGAAATACTTCTTCAAATCCTGCAGTTGATAAGAGACACACGTTAGCCTTGGAAGGTGCACGTTTAACACATACATCGTTAACATGCATGGGCTGACTGTCTCACCTGATCACAATATTCAAACACCAAGGTTAACTTCTTGTCACTGTGCAAAACATCATGTAGTCTGGAGGAGACAGAGCAGCTTTAAGTTGATGGTTGTTGACGTCAGGGTGAAATGCAAACTGCTCAGCATTTTAATTAATCTGACAAATCAGTGAAACAATAACGTCATCTGTCACTCCCACATAACAACAAGTTATATTCAGCAGACTGACCTGACAATGTTTTTATGCTTTAGTTCCTTCAGAAGGCAGATTTCTCTCAGAGCAGAACTTGGCACCCCCTGTAGAAATGGCACCCAGTGGGATTAGCACTAGCCTGCTGACAACTAAATGAATATTAAAAAAATGTCTGAAAACATAACGTTACCTCGTCGTCGTCGTCCAACCGGACACGTTTCAAAGCCACAATTTCGTGGGTTTCTCTGTTTTTAGCCTTGAAAACTGTCCCGTAAGTTCCTACGGAGCAGATCAGTTGATGTATTGATGAATGGCATAGCAACGTCAAGCGGTGCTAATGCTAATTAGCCACCTAGCTAGCTAGGCTACATAGCTAGCGTGAATATCGTAAAAGGTGGCGGACAAAAAACCTCTGACATATGTCGTCTCTACCGCATAACGTTACTATTGTAAAGTAAAAACTGCACACACCGCTTTGTATATGATTAAAAACGGAATTAGTTACCGTTGGCACAAAGCTATCAATCTAGCTAACGTTAGCTAGCACTGCATCTAACATGAATACTTGGTTAGCAAACCAGACTGGCTATATTAACTTTATTAAAAAGCATATTCAACTTACCCTCTCCAATTTTTTCAAGCTTTTCGTATTTCTGCATGGTTGGCCAGTGAAGCCAGCCTTGGACAAGCTAGCAAACCAATGACTGATTAAATCCCCAGATTGGGGTTAATAATGTTATGATAGCTAGCGTTAGCTTCAAGCTATCTGCTATTTGCTGATCCTGGGTCGGTCTGCAGCCAAGCTTGTGTTGTTTGTTGGTCATCTAGAGGCCAAGAGATGAACTGCATCACTCTCGAAAACCAGACCAAAGACTCCAAAACATTAATGGATGCAGCAATATCTTTGGAGCAGAAGCAGTTTTCTGTTTGTGCCTAATTTTATGGCAGACTTTGGTAGTAAAGGGAAGGCAAGATGACTGTATACCGAGGGTAAACTAGTTCATACTTCATAATTTACAAGGACCACAAACTAAAAAACCTTCAATTTGATCCACATACTGCAGGCAAAGATAACAGCTGTGATGGATGTGTATTCTTGAAATATGTGATACCTTAAATGTGTCTCCCGACCTTAAATTGTTCATTTGTTATCTAATTTTAAACTGTAAATGATTCTGATAGGAAGCTGTCAGACCAATACTGTATGCTAGTATACTTTGAATTATTAATTACAGACTTTTCAGACTAGCTTTTCTCTTGTTCCATTCCAGCAAATGACAACATTACAATTAATGAATAGTGATGGCTAATAATTAACAGCAAGCAAGACTTTGTTTCAGCACACAATAACAATAATATAATGCAACACATCAAAAAGGGACATTAAAGTCAAACTACACTCAAATTATTCTGGGCATCAAACATTGTTGAATGGTGGCTGTACATTTTTTTGTTTTTTTGCAGCAGTTGCCATAACAGATTTCATTCGTCACAACAAGAAATTACACTATCCACAAAGCATGTACTGCTCATTATTTATGTTCAGTGTTTAGTTTCAAAACAGACATTTTCTGTATTATGATCCATAAAAAAAGGACAAATATAGTGTACCCTCATGAAAACAGAGTTTATTTATTTTTTCTACCACAATATAATTGTTCCTTCTATACATGACAAGAGAAAACAGTGTTATGGAAATTCATTCAAGTGTAGGTACTGTACAGTAGCGTAGTTTGTAAATCATCACAGTATGATCCAGTTGGTCCACTTTTACATACTTAAATTCAAGAGTTTCTTGTAAAACTAGACAGAGAGCTGGTAGATTTAAATTACATGTTTTACATAATCTATCTCGTTAGGCAAGCCTTTGCTATGAATTTCATTTCAAATGAAATTCCATTACTCAGAGTAGATCGACAGTAAACAATTTTGGTGTGTTCATTTCTGCCCCTCGGTTCTTTGCCTGCGAATCAGATCAGAGTACATTCCTCCTTTGCTCAGCAGTTCCAAGTGAGTCCCAGCCTTAAAAGACAAGAGCAAGCTGTTAGATGTAATTAAAACGTATATTACACACTCAGTACATTGAGATGGAAGTAACCAATTTATACGTATAAATGGCTGAACCTGGAATGGAGTGAATTCTCTCCAGTGCCTCTTTAAACTTACAAGGTAGTCCAATAAATTAGCCGAGACATTTAATGGGAGATAAGAGCACCTCCATTTCTCTGCCTCCTCACCTCCACAATGCGGCCATTGCTCATGACACAGATGAGGTCAGCCCCCTGAATGGTGCTCAGCCGGTGGGCGATGATAAGCACAGTGCGACCTCTTGTTGCCCTGTCCAGAGCCTCCTGCACCACCCGCTCTGATTCTCCGTCCAGGGCGCTGGTGGCTTCATCCAGCACCAGGATGCAGGGGTTCTTGATCAAGGCGCGGGCGATAGCGATGCGCTGCTTCTGACCACCTGATAACGTCGCACCTCGCTCACCTGGGGTTTAGAAATCGAGAGCTTAGCATTTCAAAATGGCACACGAATGTTAATATTTGTAAATGCCTAAAAGAGTGCACGTACCAACCACAGTGTTATAGCCATCTGGGAAACCTGTGATGAAGCCGTGCGCGTTGGCTTGCTTGGCTGCGCTAATGACCTCAGCGTCTGTGGCCTCGGGTTTCCCAAAGCGGATGTTGTCCACGATAGATGAGCCAAACAAAACCGGCTCCTGCAAAGATACAGGGTGGAAGATCGGACTGCTACCAATGTGTATATTTAATTGTCTTATTAAAAAGGCAATTCGTTAATCATTTTGTAAACAATCTTTTACCTGGTTGATAAATCCAATGACTTGTCCCCTGAGCCAGGACAGATCAAGTGTTCGAATGTCGAGTCCGTCCAGCATGACGACGCCGCTGGTCGGGTCATAGAATCGCTCCAGCAGGGATGCCACAGTGGACTTTCCTACAATGTATTGGATTATTCATTTATGGGCTCACCAGTGCATTGTTTACATTTCTCACATTTGCAATCATTAACTAAGAAATGACCTCCTCCAGATTCTCCAACAATGGCAACAGTTTTACAAGTTGGCAGCGTTAAGTTGAACTTCTTCAGGATCTGTTGGCCAGGTCTTGTTGGATAGCTATAAATATACAAAAAATGAATAAATAAAACTATAGTATCCTCTGATATATATAATGCCTTAAATTGTTTTAAGATGAGGTTCCAACCTGAATGAAATGTCCATAAAATCCACCCTTCCTGTCAGAGAATCGTACGGGATGCGTCTTCCGCCAGACAGAGGAATAGTAGGCACCAAAGATAGATATTCAAAGACCCGGGCCCCGGAGCTTAATCCTCTCACCATCTGTCGAAAAAGTTAGAGATTGAGAGCTTGATTTCTGACAAAATTATATTTCAGATGCTACATTTTCAGATAACGCATGCTCTATACATAAATATGATTTTTACTCACCTGTCCAAAAAGGATAGAGATGCTGGCCAATGACCTGAGCACAGAGAGAATACAGGAGTTTAACTCTAACATCAGCTACATTCAAACTGATATGTTTAATTGTAAATGGTAATAAAGAGCAATCGTTGCGTGTTTTACCTTTGAACAGTCTGGGAGGCAACCAGGAAAGACATGAGGTCTCCAGGCGACATTTCATTGGTAGAAATTAAAGTCCCCCCGGCAAAAATAGTTCCGAGGACAATGCCTGTATTAACAGCACACAACCATTACTATACAATAGATATTGAGAGATAGAGTACCAATCTGCTCAACATTGTGTTTATCCCTTAATGTAGTCATAATACACTCACAGTTTAGGGCAACGTTTGACAGTCCTTGGAAAACTGCAATTCCAGAACCAAGATTTTCATTCAGTTCACATGATTTGTCAACTTCATATGAATATAACCTGGAGAAAAAAAAGACAAACATATTATCTCTGGCATACAGTACAGTATACTGTGTATCGACAAGTACTATACATCAAAATATACTCTCACTTACTGGAGCTCCCGCTCCTCCATCGCAAACGCTTTCACTGTCCGCACATTGCCGAGGGCCTCGTCTGCCACTCCTGTTGCTTTTGACACCTGAAATTAATCACAGACAAAGTTAAGACGAGACACAGTCAGACAGCAAGTTAAACCTAATTTGTAAATTGCAAAATAATATAAATGTAACTGTCTCTCAGATTTTACAGGTAGTAAGTACAGTACAGACACTGTGTAATAACATACTTAAGCTATATGAAAGTAGTGCAAAGATTGATGCCGTTTTTCTTCCAGCATCCAGAAGGAAACATCTTTCTGTTACTTCTGACTATTGCCTACTTTGAGGGTCAATATAAGTGCAAACATCTCACAACACAATCAGAGGAGGAGTCAAGAAGAAGTTGGAAAGAAACATGGCGTCTTAGTATTTGTGGGCAGTACAGTACAGTATGCCTGCCGCTTTCGTGAAGGTCTGTTCTACTCGCTCATATCTACGGCGTTTTTTAATATCGTCTGTTCTGATATCGCAGCCTCATGTGACATGGCAATGCCACTTAAACTGTGTACAAGACATCGCAGTCCTAACAAAGATTTGGAGCAAAATGATAACGCGACAATTGGTTATCACCTGTTCTTGAGCCAAACGGGATAGTTTGCGGAGGAATGAGCCAATGAGAGCTCCTCCGCCCACCAGACAAGGGAGGACGACTACCGTCAAACCTGTAAGTTTAGGGGAGATGATATAGAGAGAGACCAAACATCCAAATGTCTGTGTAATACTCCGCAGACCCTGCAAATATGCAAAAAGACAAGACATAGGAATTACAAGACTAAAACTAAAGCATTTTACAATTATTTTAAGATACAAATATAGAGCTTTATACCTGAGAGATCACCAGTTTAAAGGATGACTTGAACTCCTGAATGTCAGCAGTCAAACGATTCACCAGCTGCCCAGTTTTATTGGCATCAAAGAAAGCCACATCTTGCCTGAGACAGAAACGATAACACCGACAATGTTAACAAAGCTTGTTAGACTTCAAATGTGAGTTTAATAGTTGTCCCCTAGCGTAAACACGACAGCATCCTGTCTGGCGATCACTGCTTTTACTGTATCCATGCTTTCTTTTGCTCCAACATTGAGGAGCACGTACCTCAGTAAGGATGCGAAAAGAGTCTTCCTCATGTCGGCTGCCACTCTCTCCCCCACCCTTGACAGCAGGATGATGTAGCCACTCGTCAGCAGGCCCTGCACAAAGGAGGTGAGTAATGACCAGAGCGACACAGAAAAACAGACACTTACACGGTTTCGTGCACATTGTTTTCAGAATGAAAGTGAGTGGAACAGAACTTGCTAGTGTCGGGTAATAGGCATCAGAAAAATGAACTCTCTAAAACAATGTGATCTGCAAGCGATAAGTGAAAAGGAAAGTTACTGAATATAATGTAATCCAATACAATGACAAGCCAACTACAGCCCCAAAGGTGATGGTATCGTAGAGTTGAACAGCACTTCTGTGACATAGTTTCAATGAAAAATAGTCTAATAAGCTCCATAAAAGTGGTCGTTATCTTGGAACGGTTGCATTGGAATGCATTTTATTGTCCAGGTGTTGCTTTTATTGCATCCAACCCCTGGATTTCTTCTGTTAATTAACAGAGGAATTAATGTACAGTTAGTATCCCCTATACTACAATTACACATTTTAAAAAGGTACAGTTAAGACAAATATAACATCTAACTATTATACCAGAAGTATATCTGCAGGAAAACAATGGCAGAAAATAATGTACAGTCCTACTTTATCATTATTAAAAGACAATGCCGTGTGCTAGCATTCTTAGTCCATCATATACAAATTGTACTTTACTTTTATCGAAGCGCTGGCATAGTACTGTGCACAGACAGATTTCTTGTGTACTTACTTGGATACCATACAGTCCAAGTAATTTCAGCGCAGGGCCTCTTATCTCATGGACGTAACTCCCAGTCTGGTCTCTCAGGTAACGTGCCACGACATTCACCAGATTCCCAAGCATCAAGGGGATTTGAATATTCAAGAGAGCCGCACCAAAAGCAAGCTGGAAAGAATAACACGCAATTTTCATTAATCAGCATAAGTGACGTGTCACTATGTTGAGCATATGTCAAATCATATTTTAGTCTAGAAACGCTGACATTACATTTAAGAGAAGTGGCTCCAGCTTACCACGACAGCACCGAGGAGAGCAAACAGCTGAGGTTTGACAAATTCCCACAAGATATGCCATTTGAACTCAGGCATGGGGTTTTTGGCTGTAACTGCCACCAGGATGTTGTTATTCACATCTGCCTCGCAGTGAGCTACATGGCAGAACAGTCGTGCAGAGACAGTGAACACTGCTGGTGCCAGGATGAACTTCAGAGCCACTCCTGGGGGTCTGGATGTTCGGGTGGTGGACCGGCGGACAGCTCTCTGAGTGAGGCTCCAAATGCGGCCGACAGCATTTCCAGGCTGCTGTGAGGAGCTGTGTGCTGGAGCTCGTGGAGATGTGTACCACCTGGATATGAAAAATAATATGAATATAAATAGGCATTCAATAACATATCATGAAAGTATTGCAAAGCTAATGAAACAAAGACTAGAAGATTTGAAGGCTTTAAGAGATTAGATTGGTTTGCAACTCGCAATTTATGTCATGATCAATCAATCTGATGTTTAATCGTTTCTCCATCTTTGGACATTGGAATTGCAACTCAGGCAACGTGAACAGATTACAGAGCTCAATAGCTCTTCTTGGAAACGACTTCTTATCGTAGCGTTAAATAGAAATAATACATTGTTTGTATTGTACTTTTTAAAACAGATGTTACAATGTGTTAAAAACAGATGCATGAAGAAAAAGTATTAAAGCAGAACATACAATAACAGTATGGTAGTAAAAAAGGAAAGTGATAAAAACAAGGTCATGATTAGTCAATCTTACACTCTGGACTTAGAGAAAATGTAAATGTTTTTTGACTGCTGAAGAAACAAATCATATATGAAAATGGAGGTTGAATAATTTCCTGTTTTTGACAACAACGTCAAACACACACGTGCATCGCACTGTACCCATTATGTACACCTGCACATTAGAGGAGACCAGCTGTGCATGACAACATGCTAGTCAGTGTACAGTCTGTGGTGTTGATTAACTAACATAGCTCATGTATAGCAGGTACAGGTCAGCTGTCATTAGCTGCACTAGTCACCGGTCACATAACCCTACCGTGAAAGTTTCCAAACGTCTGCTGTCTTATTGCCTCGCTGGTGTAACAACAATGACCGCACCGGAGCAGTGATGCTCGCCCTACAGCACAGTAGCTGGAACATGTTTTATATAGTTTATTTAAATGATAACCAGCTCGTTATGGTTCAATAGTCGTTAAGCTCTACAGTAATCCACAGGCACCATGGAGGCTGCCATGTTGACACTGACCCAGAATGCAGTTCTCCGGCTGTAGATGACTTAGTTTTTATTGTAAATAATTGTTTGTGACAACAGAGTGGTGCTTTGATTCACAACAGACGATAACGTGACGAATTTTAAACCATTTGTGCAACATTGTCATAAAGTGACGCGACAAAAAACTAACTTTTGGGGGGAAAACGTGAGAAAACTACAATTCACACCCGGAAATGACGGCAGCTAAAATGAAAGTGACGTCAAAGACGTTTTGTTGACATTTGTTTGGTGAAAGACAAAAACAGTGGACACACACACACACTGGATGGTGTATTTTGGGAAATCAACTAACGGACCTCGCGACAAACGGAAGACCAGCGTACAGTTAGGGATTTCAACATAGCCGCGTGCGTTAAAAACGAGCTCTGGTCAAGGTTGGACTCAAAGAAAGAAGATCCAAACATCAGCAGACAGACGGACCAGGACAAAACAAACCATGAGTGGCTGAATCATTCACAGGCTAACCAGCCATCAGTTGAGTTAGGTTGTGATCTCTAAATACGGCAACTAACCAACAGTTAGTCTGCCGAAGATCCATATACTTTATTCTTAACTGCCACTCAGTATTTGTGTTCCTGTGGTAGTGTAGTGTTACACGAGCGGTGACCGTTAGACTAGCAAGTTAGCAAGCTAGCTGTAAGCTAACGTTATCCTTATTTCAACTGCTTGAGCTGTTGGAGGAGCTAATATCTACAGAATGTAGCTTGGGCTACGAGACTGCATTCGTTTCATATACAGTGTTTACTACAAGTTGCTCGTCAGTTTAGGAGTGGCCATAAGAATGTGAAGCGCAATGGCCAACTTTGAAGCTTACCAGGAGTACCAGAGAATTGAGGACTTTGAGGAGGACTCGCCACCAGGGGAGGACGATTTACTGGTGCACGTGCCAGAAGGCCTAAAAGGTAAACATGTTATTACCACCTAAAGTTAGTTAACACAATAACATGCAACAGGGTCAAAGTGATAATGCTTTCATTTGTTTTGCAGAATCATGGCACCATATCAAGAACCTGGATAACTTCTTCAAAAGGATATCCTTTTAAATTATAGTATTGTTCAGTAGCAGATGTGTCAACCTTTACTGCCATTGCGTATGATGCTGGCATCATGTCATGCTGACACTGACTACTTAAGACACTGGTCAGTAGTCATATTTAGAATCTGTTGGGTTTGTTTACTTCGTGACCGCCATGTGAGTCATTTCTTGGGATTTGATTTTCCTAGAGTTTGATGATGTCGGTGATATCTTATGTGTTGTCCTGTAGATTCGTTGTGCTTAATCAATGTATTTTCAATGACTGACCAAGTATAAGGCTTTGTTTAAGCTTATTTCAGATTTCCCTTAACCAGCTTGTCCACATCTATCATTTCCATCAAAAGAATGGCTTCGCTTGTATGATGATATCGGAGTTCTTCGAACTTATGTAAGTACAACAAACACTGAGCTCAGATGCCTATAGTTATCTTCATCATGAGACACTGTGATGTGTTTATAATTAAAAGCATTAGGTTGAGTTTGCAGTTCCAACAGGACCCTTGTTGTGAGTAAGACTTGGGCCTTGATCATTTCACTGGTAACAGTCTGTGTTGTTGTTATGGTCGTTAAGTGTGCCTCAAGCTTCAGCAAGGAACAGGTTCAGGCAGATGATTTTAAAAGCAGCTGGGCGTAGAAGCTCTTGTGAAATAACTTCCCCACACTAAACACTTACATTTTGACGATTGCTTTATTTGCTATAAGCGTTTGTACATTTATTATTACTATCACCCTTTTTGGAGCATTTCTCCTGGTGTAACTTATTATGTTATCACCAGGCCAATGTGTCGGTGCTACATATTGTTTAATTTCCCTTCCTGCTACATAAGATATGTTTTTGCTAATACCAGTAAGCTATCTCTGTTATTGGGTCCTGGTCTGGTGTTCGTGTGATTCTGACCACAGTTGGCTTATTCATTTGGAGCCTCTTAAACTATTAGCCTGAGAAACTCTGTCCGCATGTCTCACGAAGATTTGTGTGCTTAATCCTTAACTACTACCCAGTATTCATCATGTTCCTACGGTAGTGTAGGGTTACATAAGCGGAGTCTGTCAGACTACTAAGCTAGTGTTAGCGGTAGCTAACGTTACTCTTATTCCAACTGCTTGAGTTGCTGAGTAGCTAGCTCCAGAATGTTGCTGAGGTTGCGAGACTGCAGTAGTTGCACCCAGTTGGAGGTGATCTGTCACACAAGTAATTGCAGAGTGCACTATCACTGCTTAGGAATGAAATATAGTCACTTATCTTAATACTGTATACCAATATTAGTCTCTTTTTGTCGTCGTTAGTACTTTGGGTATTCTTGTTTTGTTTTGTTTGACTGTCATTCATTTATTTTTTTTTCTTTTCTCATCTCATCTAAACAGTCAGTTATTGTTTGTTGTCATGTTCACAACGTTCCTCGTCAACTGTGTGGAGTACGATGTCCTGTTTGCCAACCGAGTGGTCAACCACACCGGCCCGGGCCAGAACCCCTTGGACAGAAACAAGGTCACTCTTCCAGATGCCATCCTCCCCAGTGAGCAGTGCACTCAGAGGTAACCCTGTTTCAGACACGTCTATGGGGAGCTTTAGAGTGTGAACGTGTATTTTTTTCCTTTTGGGGGCAAAATGAGTAGAAACGTCAAGGTGAATTAATTGAAAACTCTAAACTTTACATGATGTGCCCGTCCTCTCATTCCAGCCAGTTTGATTGGATGCTTTGTTCTCACGCAGACATGGTCTCGGATATTATTAGAGTCCTTTTTAGAGAGGTTTTCATTTGTCCGGCTTAATACAGTTGTAATCAGAGTTTCAGACTTAATTTCTTATTGAATTGTGTCAGATGTGGCTTCAGGCGGCAAGATACAGTCACATTCACATAGAAGGACTATAGAGCAGTGGACTATTTAGCTGTTCCCCGTGGGTTTGTAGATCTACTGGTAGGCAATGTCTCTTTAAGCTGTTATTAACTGTCGGCACTCTAAGCAAATGGTCTTAGCAGAAACTAAGAAGACCAGCGTACAGTTAGGGATTTCAACATAGCCGCGTGCGTTAAAATCTTTTTCGTCATTTGCAGACCTGAGTATCCATTTCCTGTTTTTATTCTTAAACCCAAAATAATCAACTTTAACACGCATCAAAAATATGACCCAAATGTTATATTTTTATGTTATCTTTATGAAGACTTCTGCCAAATTAAACTAATTATTTTTTGGAAAAGGTGTTGACGCCGGTGGTGATAGCAGATTAAAAGCTAACATTACGTTTTGGAATTGTTTAAAAAAAAGCTTCCATCAAAAAAAGCGTGATGTTTAACCAGATTGAAGTAAAAGTGACATGTGTCTCTTTCTTGAAGTGTGTTTCTTTCTCAGTTTTGTTGTTTATGAACCTGAGATCGGTGGCTTCGAGTTGCCCCATTCCTGTAACTGATGGTTACTTAGAGGAAAGTATTTGTGTACTGTGTTAAGACTGGCTTTAGGGAACAGGACAATGTAATTGATAGCTTTGGTGAGGTATAACTGTCCAGCCGAGATACTGACGACTCAGCTGAGCCAGAGAGCTGACGACCACATGACACCTCGCTGGCTGAGAGGGACAGGCCCCCTCCAAGCGCAAATGTTTTTTTTCTCCTCCAAAATGTAGCCTCGCCTCTGCGTGTTATCTACAGCTTGTCCAATAGGCCTCTCTCATTAATTAGTTCCTTGATTATGACTGTGGCTCAGTAGTCATTGATATCGCAGGCGCTGATGTAAAACCGCTTGAAGTTCTAATTTGGGAACAGCTTGTTCCACAGTTTGGAACCTCTCTGTCCTCCTCGTATCCTCAGAACTTCTCTAATTTCCATTTTATAGCCAGATGCTTGTCCCGAAAACATTATCACATTTTGTTTATTATATCTGAAAGTTAACTGATATAAAATGACAAACAAACAATGTAAAAGTGCATCAACAACTGCTTTAATATTAGCCAGTGCGACATGTAATACACTAAAGCAGAGGTCTTCAACAGGGGGTCCGCGGCCCCTAGGGGGTCCGTGAAATTTTTGGTTGATTAGACAAAAAAAAAAAAAATGTAATACATTTTTTTTTTTTCTCTAAACATGAATCTGTCCATTATTTTAATAGTTCAGTATTGTATGAAATATATATATATATATATATATATATATTCTACATTTATGTTTAAAATGAAAACATCAGTTTGAATAGCTTGTGTGTATCATTATCATGCGATTGACAGACAATGTTGATATTAGCATTGGTATCAGCTGACAAGGTATGTTTATAAAAGGCAGTGGCACGGCCACCCTACTCACTGTACCTTGCACATGTTTAAAATAAAAACATGAATATATGAACCTGTATATTATTTGAATAGCTTAGTATTGAATGCACAATAAAGAGGTATACACGGTACTAGTCCCATTTAATATAAAACACAATTTTATACAATATATATAGTCGGGGGTCCCTGCTCCATCTCTCTATCAGTTTTGGGGTCCTTGGCCTGAAAAATGTTGAAGACCCCTGCTCTAAAGAGTCCTTTATTTTAGAGAATGAATTAAGAGCAAAAATTGAAAATTCTCAACTGTTTATCATGAAATAAGTTAAATACTGAATAAAGGGTCAATTTACAAAGAGGAGAGGGGGTGTACTGTGTGTGCCTCTGAGTACTGTGCCACTGTACTTGCTATTCTGAATCCCAGGTATCAAATTAGCCTCCCCTTAATAACCACTTTGTCAAGATATTTATTGGCATGCTATCTTTCCATCCCCTTCCAAATATCGTACGAGCATCGAGGCTCTTACTGTAAATGTCCTAACAAGGCTGGAAGTCATGTTAACCTGGTTAAACCATGGCTGAATATCTACGCAGTCACTCATGTCTGAATGTCCAAAATCCATAACTCAAAGAGATAAATACAGACTGCCATATCTGAAAGAGGGCTTTTGTTTCTATTCAGGATCCAAGAGAACAGTTGGATCATATTCCTTCTCATCATGGCAGCCATCTTCTGGCTCTATCGACTTGTCAAAGTCTTTTGCAATGTTCTTAGCTACTGGGAGATCAGGCAGTTCTACATCAAAGCCCTGAAGATCAGAATGGTAAGTGCCACACCTGGAGACCTTATCATCACATGTAATCACTCTTTTGACAGATGTCTTATGCTTACGATTATAAAACCACAAAGATGTCCATGTTGTCGTGCATCATCTCTGTAGTATTCGTCGGCTGACTTTGTTCTCCCTGCCACATTGTCCCAGGATGAACTATGCAACTTCACGTGGCAGGAAGTCCAGGACCGGCTCATCAGCCTGCAGCGAGAGCAGCAAATGTGCATACACAAGAAAGAGCTGACTGAACTGGATATCTATCACCGCATCCTGCGGTTCAAGAACTACATGGTGGCCATGATAAACAAATCGCTGCTGCCGGTGCAGCTGCAGCTCCCCCTGCTGGGCAACGTGGTGTTCCTCACCCAGGGCCTCAAGTACAACTTTGAGCTCATTCTCTTCTGGGGCCCCGGCTCTCTGTTTCAGAACAAGTGGAACCTGCACCCCAAGTACAAGCGGAACGGGAACCGCCTGGAGCTGGCGCAGCAGCTCAGTAGAGTCATCCTGCTGATGGGTTTGGCCAACTTGGTGCTGTGCCCCTTCATCCTGGTGTGGCAGGTGCTCTACGCTTTCTTCAGCTATACCGAAGTGATCCGCAGAGAACCCGGAAGCCTGGGGGCGCGACGCTGGTCCCTGTTTGGGCGTTTATACCTGCGGCACTTCAATGAGCTGGACCACGAGCTGCATGGGCGTTTAGGCCGGGGCTACAAACCCACGTCCAAGTACATGAACTCCTTTACGTCGCCAGTGCTGACCGTGCTGGCTAAGAACTTGGCCTTCTTCTCGGGCTCAATCCTGGCCGTGCTCATTGCACTGACGGTGTATGACGAGGATGTTCTGACAGTGCAGCACATTCTGACCGCGATCACTGTGCTGGGAGTGGTCATCACTATCACCAGGTGAGTGTTCAGAGCCAGGTTTCCATCATTGTTTCCAGATTTCCAGTTTCCAGTCAAAAATCAAACTGTACTGTACAAAACTATCCCGTTTTCCTCGTTCATAGTTGTACTGTTGAGAAATGTAGATATTTTGTACCTGTCCCACACCAGGTCCTTCATCCCAGATGAGCATATGGTGTGGTGTCCAGAGCAGCTGCTGCAGTGTATGCTGGCACACATTCACTACATGCCAGACCACTGGAGGGGCAATGCTAACAAGAGCGAGACCCGTGACGAGGTGGCGCAGCTGTTCCAGTACAAAGCGGTGAGGGGCGGAGACACTCGGTGGATAGGAACACTTTTGTCACAGTCTAAACTAAAGTTATGGTGGAGTTGTTGTTGTGATTGATGACGTTTTTAATGTAGCACCTGATCACCGAAGAGACGTCAGACTGGCTTCAGTCTCGTAGTACAATCACTGGATTTATTGTTGCATTTAAATATATTTATATTCTACACATTATATATGATGCGTGTTTTCTCCGTCTGAATCAGGTGTTCATTTTGGAGGAGTTGCTCAGTCCAATCGTCACGCCCTTCATTCTCATCTTCCACCTGAGGAATAAGTCTCTAGAGATCATTGACTTCTTCAGGAACTTCACTGTCGAAGTGGTCGGAGTCGGAGACATCTGTTCCTTTGCGCAGATGGACATTAGACGGCACGGAAACCCAACAGTAAGATCCTCCATAGGATTCAAGCCAGTCAGTTCATTAGAGTTTCTCAAGCTGTAAATGTACGACTGCTGTGATGTTGTTTGAATTGATATTTATCTCTATCGTGTTTTTGCAGTGGTTGTCAGAGGGCCAGACGGAGGCCTCCATATACCAACAAGCCGAAAATGGCAAGACAGAGTTGTCACTTATGCATTTCACCATTAAGAACCCGCGCTGGCAGCCGCCTCAGGAGAGCTCGGTGTTCATCAGCCATCTGAAGGAGAAGGTGCAGCACGATGCACAGGGCGGGCCCTCCACCCAGCTGCTGCTCTCCGAGGCGCCGCTCTGCACTTCACTGCAGTCCAACGAGCCCTGCACCGGGGTAAGAGCCCTCGAGCATCACACAAAGAGCATGTACCCCACATCGTCATGTCATGTCAAAGAAACTGCGTAAATGTTAACAATGAATATTCATCGCCACAGAATAACAAAATTACTCCAGAATAGATTTATCGGCATAAACTATTGATCCATAAACAACTTCGTGGCTCTGTATTGACCTTTTGTTGCTGTTTCCAGCCTGATAATCTGTTGGCCAGCGTCCTGGCTCACCCAATCCTCACCGCGTCTGGACTACAGGGGCGAGACCATCGCTTCATCCCGCCGAGCACCGCTGCTTCTGCTGCTGCCAGCGTCCTGGCCTCTCTGTCCACCTCTCAGCTCCCGCACAGCAGCCGCGGCCGCTCCCACGGCCTCCTGCACTCATCCGTCCACCCCGAGAGCACCATGTACCGCAGCGACCGCACCGTCATCGACAGGTACCTCACATGCACATTACGTTTTCTACGACAGTATTCACACACTGTACTCAGAAACAGTGTTTGGTGAGATCAATAAATAAATGCAAATGCTTGTCGTCAGCTTTGGTTAACATGTTTCTTTTTCAGTATGTCTAACAGTGACTCTCACATCCGGAGCAATACGCTGCAGTCAGAGTTTGCCTCAGCAGAGATGAGTCTCCACGCCATCTACATGCATGAGGTAATGTCCTGCCTCCAGGCCCTATGGTTGACATTAATATATTCATCCTCCTTTTCTCTGTTGTGTGCCTGAACTGTTGATCAGCGGCCGGCTTGAATTAGTTAGAGTTACAAAGGTTTTCAATGGTGACCAGGTTTTATGGTGAAAGAAAAGAGAGTTTTCGGGAGGAGAAACACATTTCAGTATCCCTTGTGAGCCTCTAGTCTACTGTTCTGCTGTACATTGACAACCGATTGTCTGTCCAGCTCCACCTGCAGACCTCCCACCCACAGAGAACTTCGGGGCAGTGGCAGAACCCAGTGCCAATGAGAGATCTGCACACAAATGCTAGTAAGTGAAAATCCTGTTTTTGAATAACCTTGCAAAACAGAACTATAGCTGAAAAGTTAATGGCAGTTCTGTTTGTTAAGTTTGAGTAAGATTTTAGACCCGCATTCATAATTATTTTTGATATTAATATTGAATCTAATGACTCTTGAGAAATGGGGAAAAAGATTGTTTGTAGTGTGAAATTACGGTCATGACCCGAGTCTGCAGCACTTAATTACACACAGAACAACAGCCGCAAGTCGAGCAGAGCCACAAAGGCCTTTAGAATAAATTACAACAGCTTTTAGGAGTAAATATGTCTGCTCTAATGTTCGTCAAACTTAAGTTATATTAAATGGTAATGTAGTACAGAAACCAAAGCCGCACTGACAACAGTAACATGACTGCAAATGTAAAGCTGATTGCGACTTATTACAAGTTTCAAGTTGATTATTCCAGCTGTAGTTAATTGAATGGAGACTAATGGCTGTGAGGTCAAAAAACGCATTAGAAGAAGTAAAGTATATACAGTGATTTGTAGCACGAAAACATGCCAAATCCTTCTATTGTATTATTTATTTTTAATAATAATAATAATGCATATTATAATATAAGAAGAGTTTATACACAGGCATGGAGCAGTATGACCTTTTAACAGGTGAGTTTTAACATGATCTCAGTGAAACACTGATCTTAATATCAGATGCGATTAGATTGAATCATTGTAATAATTTCCCTTTTTAAAATTTTCCGTGTTATCTCCATTATGCCAAAGAAAGACTCTGACCTTGCATCAACACTCTTGTCAGGTTTCCAGGCTAACAGTGGCCTTGGCGCCAGCATGTCCATGCCCACCCCGGTCCACCTCGGTGGCTGGCAAGAGGAGGAAGAGGAGAATGAAGATGATCAGGAGATTAATAATGGATCTACTCCAAAGCAGAACGCGGGGAGTAGTTGTTGAAGTGCCTTATGTCATAAGGTATATGCTCTCTTTTAATCTCTGTCATATGACACACGTCTACGATCTATGCTTTGTGGTTCTGTTTCCTGTGTGTTGGTCGAACCCAACAACAAACAATGGCCTTTTATCCTGCAAGGGATACATCGCCATGATAATTTCTCCTCTCTTTCTTTTACTTTTTTTTTTTTTTTTTAATAAGTGTTTACATTTTATTTTCTTCTATGAACATTGTGGCCTTAGATGATCTTCATGGAGAATTTAGCATGGACCTTTTTAAAGCATTGCTCAGCGTTTTGTTTTCGGAGGGGCTCGTCGAGTAACCACTGTCTCTGCACCTCCGCGCCTCATCCTGTCACATCAAGGCAGACTATGGCATCAGGGAAACCATACGTCTTCCGTCCGATCCGTGTCGACTTTGTCACAAACGTGTACAGACAAACTTTAAAGTGTAAAGTGACGGAGGGGACACTGTGGTGTGTTCGTGGGATCACTGTGTGAAAAGGAGTGCAAAAGGCTCATCTCGACTTCTGCCGAGCCTTCAAGTGTTTGTGCATTAGAAAGGTTCACTCACAGAGGGACGATCGGTGCAAACTGTGTCGTAGCTGCCTGAGCAATTGTGAAAAAGATTATTCAATATTTCAAGTTGTGCTGTTTGAACCCTGGTGATTTGTAAATACACTTTTGCATCTTAGTTGTCCTTTTTAAAAGTCCACATTTTTTACTACCAGAGCTTATCCTTGAAAATTATACCAAGTATTAATTTGATAAAGAGGAGCAGGAGTACAGGAGCAGAACTACTAAAACACCATGTGTACCTGGCTAAAACATGTCTTTAATCCAGACACACACATGCGTTGATGCTGCTGTCTGTGTTTAGAGGTCCTAAATACAGGTTTTTACTCAGTATTACTGTTGGAGCTGATTCATTATAAACGGGACTGAAATCATGGGCCCCAAATACACTTGGCGTCAAAATCCCAATGCAGATATAAGATGTCTTTTAAGTCTATTGAAGCTGGACACAAAGTCAGCTTTATGCCTTAACACCCATTTAATAACATCCTAGCTTCCGTATTACCTCAGTGGTGGTGAAGAAAAACTATTACTCCAATCAATACCTCTGCAGTGGGAATATATATATATATATACAATATGGGGTTCTTTGCAATGTGCAGATGCATCTTTTAACTGCATTTTGATTTTAATGGCGTGTGTAACTGGACTCTGTTCCATCTTCTGTTGTTATTTCCTGCCCAGCAGATGTTTTAAGTTGAGCGTTGATGTCCCAGAAAAGGTGGGAAGGAATCTTTTTTTTTTTTTTTTTTTTTAATTTAAAGAACAAAATAGGGGGAGTGTACCTGTTGCAAATTGTTGTGCACTTTAGCCTTTTGTTTGCATCCTTTTTTCCAAAACTCTCACATGATTTAAAAAAAAAAAAAAAGGAACTTTATCATAAGGGCTGATTTGAAAGTTTTAGGGCAGCAGTTCCTCTCAGCGTTGGCTGGATACTTTCAAAGTAAGAGCATGAGGAGAGAAAAAAAGCCTTTCCACGGTCTGTATCATTTGTTAGCTTTATTTATTACCTGTGCCCCCAGATATTTAAGTGATGTTTGTATTTATTTGGAAAAAAATGATTGTTTTGAGAAATGATTTACTTTCAGAAATTATTTTCAATGAAAAAAAAAAAAAATCTAAGTTCCCCCACAAAAAATTGTAAAAAAAAATGTTGCTTTTGAAATTCTGAAAAAACGATTTTATGAATGCAAAGATAACATGGCTAGCTGCATGATTTCTAATGTGATTCACACTTAAAATGAAGTGGGACTAAATCTGCTTGTCGATTTGGTGCACAAAAACAAATCTTTCCACCTATTTTTTATTGCATTCTTCATAGAACAGTAATATATATATATATATATATATATATATATATATATATATATACACATATATATGTGTGTCATCCTTCACAACTGCAAGACTTCAGAAGATACAGATGTGTCTTTACCCTCTCCATGTTTAGAAACTATGTCTGTGGAAGGAATGCTTTTGGACACCTGCGTAATTATGCTGACATGAACTCCGAATTTTGCACTGACAGAATATAAACCTTTTTTCTTTTTAATGTGTGTGTGTGTGTATATATATTTACAATACTTGCATAAGTTACATTTTAGGAACTGCAGGTCTCAAAAGGGATGCTTGAGTCAGTCTCCATCCGGAATGTCCTCTCCTCGTTGTTTGTATATAAGCAAAGCATCGGCACATGTTGTTCCGCCGTCGTCCACAGCAGACCCACCTGGAAATACTGTGGCCAATCGACTCTGGTCGGCAGACGTTCGCCCTGTAGGTGACTGTGTGTGTGTGTGTCTTTGTCACACTGTTTAATATGCGTACATGAGTGTTGTGTTCACTGTCCATCTTGTGCAGTGAGTTTATGTCGTAGAGACACTGGAGCTCAGCTTTGTCTCCACATATTACACCTCACCGTCATGTTTGTCTTTTTGTTTGAATCAGTGCCTTAGTATTAAGGACTAGTAATTGCTCTCTATAGAAGCCATTTCATGTAAACCATTGGATTTACTTTCACGGATTCAGCAGCACATAATATGTACAGTATTTTATTTTTGCTGGTCATTGTGTGTGTAGCATCACGTATGTAACGGACGTGGCTTGTAAGATGAGTCGTTCACTGATCTTGTTTCAGTCTGTTGCATCCGACAGCACACTTCTTCTTATCGTGGTGTTTCGATTTGCACTGTCCTGAATATCCTAAAGAAGCAGGAGTGTGCCTTGTAACTGCTGGTGTCATCACAGCCAACCCTCTCATCTTACCGTGGTTTCTCATCCACTATACACCAGTCTAACAATCACAGTGACTGGTAACAAGGTGCTACGTTTCCATCCGGAAGTGTTGAATAAGTTTTTAAGTTGAGTTTGTCGTTTTGTGACACAGGTTTGTCTGTTTGTTTTGTTCTGAAGAAAAGAAAGATGCCAAAATAACTTGTTTTCAGCACAGCTTTCATGTGTTGTTTTTCTGTGAGTGAGTAGAGACGCAAGTACATCTTATTTTGAGTGTTTTTAATGATTTTATGTGTGGTTGATTATGTGATGTTTGTTTGAAATAAAAATATATTTAAATTTTCATTTCATTTGTTTTATGTTTGCGTTGCTGGTTTGAGATTACGATGTGAAACACTTATAAGAGTTGTATGTATCTGACACTGATATATTTATGCTTCTGCTTTCGTCCCTCTGAACTGAGCAGGAAGTCCTTTTCATTCACAACTTGGTGATTCTGATCGTGTTTATTTAGCACGGCTCATTGATGAAGTAGAGCCTGATAAGTCTGAGAGGTCTTATAGTCACTGTACGTCTGTACTGTGACTAAATACACCGAAGGATACTCAAAGCTTTGTGTGGGATTTAAAACCATCTGACTTTAAAGACTCCTCGTGGTAGTATCAGAGAAGGCACTGAGGCTGACCGCAATGCAAGGTGTGACATGGACAACCACACAAACTAAACAATCAACCATCGATGAAAATAATTAACCATCAAAATAATGATGTACCCAATGACGAACATCTAAAAGAGTGAAAGAATGATACATATATTTTACGTGCATGTGATTTCAATGTGTTTGATTTAATCTGATAAATCAGTAAGTTTTTGTCTTTAGGTTTTGAACTCTTCTTCCACCTTCCCTTCCTCGAGGTGCAATAAGAGCTCACCGGTGCAAATCTTTCAAAAAGGAATACTTCCTTCTTTAGTTTTTATTTACTGTCCTCAGTAACATGTGTCCTGAACAGATCAAGTCTATGTGCCACGTCTGTGTTTCAGTGCTGCGTGTCTCCTTCTCTGTCGCTCACGGTCTCTTTCCAGATACAGCTGAGTTCTTTCACTGCTAACATCCGACTCGCCTGTGAGTAGCAGAACAAACACCTTTTGGCTCAACTGAATTCCTGCAGTCTAATCCTCGGTTGAATGGTGGGTTCCCCCCTATTGTAATAAAAGTATTTCTTTCCACATTCGTTACGTCTTTGTTTGATTGCTCTTCGTGGGTCAGAATAGTGAAGCTGACTTTTGTTTCATTGTTTCCTGCGTTATCTCAGTGCCCTGTGTACCCCTGTTGCCCTCCTTATACTCTGTCAATACTGTAAATGCTATCCACATTGTAAATAAACACCACATGCCTCTATTTTGAGACACACTATTTAGTCTCATCTGTGTTTTTTTACTCATAATCAAGTGATTGTTATATCTTAAAGTCCTCTTTGCACATTTTAGGGACGCGGACGCCATCTGCTGTTTATCCTTGGCTATCTGTCCTCGCTGTTACTGACGTTTGTCTCGCTTGTCGTCATGTCTGCCGTGTAAATGTTCTTTTGAGGTAACACCCATGTGTTTCGGCTGTGAACATGATACAACCGTGACCTTAATCCTGAAATGCCTAAGAGGTCTGGTGGAAGGCCTCGTAGGTCAGATATTGGAGAGGATACATTACAAATGTTCTGTAAAAAAAAAAAATGGTCTCATCACCAAGACATTTTTTACTTGTTGCTTAACAGCATAGCCAGGTGCTATGTGCCGGTCTGCTGTATTGTGCTCAGGTGTTTGGTCAAGAATGACTTTTGGGTAATCACCAAAGGTTGTGGAAATACCATCCGTGATGTTATTTGATGCTCCTAACTGATTGGGCTTCAGGAAAGGCAGACCACAGAAAGTGCAAAGATGGAGGAGAAAAAGCAATTGAAAGGTACGTTAAATTTGATTATATAAACCAAACAGGCTTTTATTATTATTATCATCCCTTATGTTACATAACATGTTTGGGTGAATGTGGGACAGACAAAAGAGTTCTCCATCAGTTTGTTTTAATTGTTCCTTTTTTCGTCAGTATGCTTTCAGGAGCATGGAAACCAAAGCCAGCAGCCAGTACAGGATGAGCAGAGGCAGGCAGCAACAGTGGATTACTGTCTGCTAGAGTTTCGGGAAGTTTAAATCAGGGTCCAGGCGACCTGCTGCTGTCAGTCATTGGCACTGGGGGAAAGCCCACTCTGGAAGACCAAGGAAATACCATAGAGGCCAAAGAATAGGGAAGAAAGGGGTAAGACTTGTTACCCATTGTTTTAGAGAATAACATTAAATATAATACATATAATTATGTCTCTAAATATGTGATAAAGTAGGGTGTGAAAAAAATGAATGCCCTGCTATCTAATGATTGCTATGTCATGCTAAACATGTTGGAATCATTGTGAAGATGTCATGGGAGATGTATTTAAAGCACTGCTGTATTTGAGGCTTTTGTACACTATGAGGTCATAACTTAATTATGGGCTGACCAGCCGGGTAAAGCAGCTGCCAACATGGTGGCGGTGAAACACAGTGTGTCACAAGCTCAAGCAACTTCAACCACATGTACTGTACATTCAATAGAGGTTTAGGCGGAACACACACTGCATACATATATGTAGGTGGTAAGAAACTGTCCATAAGAAAGTGAAGGTTATTCAGAAAATGGGCAGTTATCAGAAATACAGACGAGTCAGCAGGCTATGACCATAGTCTTGGAATTGCATGCAATGTTATGCATTGTTATTGTTTAGAAATTGTGATAAATTATGTCAGTTAGTCTACTCTCACTGTATGCTGGTACGGTTCTAGTGAAACAAGAGAAAATAACAAAAAAAAGACTTAAAGGAAGACTGACATTTATGGAAATATGATTGTTTGTCAGGTACCCACAGTCTGATTAGAGGACTGATATGAAGTTCATTTATTTTATGTTCTCTGCACAGATCCGAACAGGTGTTAGTGCAGCTGAAAAACTAGAATAATAGGGAAGTAGTCAAACCTCTCAACGGGAAAAGCATGACAAAAACAAAATAAGAAGTCTGTTACCTTCACATTCAGACTCTTCGGATTTAAATTGGCTCGTCCTTTGGCTCAGCTCGCACTACACACTAAGATGAGCCTAAGATCATTCAGTACTGATAGACATGGCAAGAGATTGATGTGCAGGTCACACATTTGCATATAGAAGAGAGGCTCAAAATAACAAGTGAAGTTGTAATATAATTGAGTCTGAAGTCATCAATAGTCCTGTATGAGACAATATTCTAGCTGACTGTGGATCTGGAGGAATCACTATCTCCTCTGTGTTTTATTGAGTGTCTACGAAACAGGATTTGGACCTTTGTGTAAGGAAATAAAATAATGAAATATACATAAAAACAGTTAACTAAATAAATGAAATATGGAAAATTCAAATAGAACATTTTACAGCCATTTTGGTGGGATTTGGACCAGAATGGAATTAAGAAAATGTGGTTAATTGTGTGTAATAATATGATGTATGTGTTGCTACTGAAAACCATGGTGGAACAAGTACTTTTAGTTGAAGAAGCAATGCCACTCTGTAGAAATACTCAAGTACAAGTCCTGCATTCAAGATATATCATAACTAATCAATGGAATATTATTGTATTTGTTTTTATTGGTAAGCATAATTTCAAAGTAGAGGTGAGGCACATTTTGACTACTTTATATACTGTTGGATAGTTTGATCTACAGCACAGCAGTGGTGGGAGAAGTACTCAGATATTTTACTTCCTAACCTCTGAAGCAAAACCACAATGTAGAAAATCAATTAAAAGTTATGCATTCATTATTTACTTTATTTTTTTAAGTAAAAATACATGGTATGGTATTACCATCAAAATATACTAAGTACCAATGTGCTCATTGTACAGAATGGCCCATTTCAGAATAATGTTTATTGTATAATTGGATCATATTATATATATTATATACTTTAGTGTTGCAGATGGTAACATTTTTATACAGCTGGGTTGCTTAATCTATAACAGCATATTATTCATATGTTAATTATAATATT